CGTCGTGGTTAAATTCGGAGCTGTAAATCATAGACGTGGTTCCGTAGCAATGGCAGTTTCCATATATGAAAATGCAGACGGACATGAGACTCCTAGAAGATGCTTTATTAGTCGGATAGTCTAATAGACGATTAGCAATGGTAGTAGCGGCCGAAATTCTTTCAGACACGTACCATTAATAACAGTGTAAAATTGTTTAAAGTTACTGCCTGTATAAGAGGTACTTAAGCACGCCCACGCGCCCGACAACGTACACACACGAAAGACACACAGAATCAGAATCGGGATAAAAATGAAAACAATGCTCATCCGGGTTTACTTGCCATCACTACACAATAAATTACTTATGTAGGCCCTAAGTGCAATTCATAATATTCGGTGCTTAAACATTTAAAAGTGGAGCTCCAGTCCAAATCTATGAACTGGGCCTGTTTTTAAAATATTTAAACAAACATATCTAATCAAAAAGAGGAAAATACGAACTTCTTTCAGCAACAAGATTCAACGTTAAACCAATAATGTGATGTTAAACATGGTCCTTCGAGCCGGATTTTTCTAAAACTGCTTAGTAGGAAACAATGAATATCGTGAAAAGTAAAGTATCAGTTTAGAACAATCTTTGTAAGTGGCAAGTTACGTTTATAATTTTAATAATTACGGTTATTCTTTCAACTTCAATTCTACGTAACCAACTTTCGCTTAACAAAATAATTAATTTTATTAAATTAACCAATAGTAATATCTTTTCCCTACTCTTGCATGCAGTTTGTGGTCTTGTTCTTCCCCTGCATGCAGTTTGTGGTTTCAAATAAAATGTTTTAATCGAACTTTTAACTGTAATCGCTCCTTGCTTTATTTGGTCAAAGTCATGTAAGCCTTATTACGCCTTTTTATTTTAATGCTCGGCCAAGGATATCTGCTACTTTGTGTGTTTATTAGGTATAAAGAGAGCTGTAGTTTATTGAATCAACAAAATTGTGCGCATGGTAGAATCATCGCTAAGTGGAACTTGCTTTATTACTTTGAAAATTTAACGAGAACATTAATTACAAGTACCTATGTAAAATTGCGAAGAGCTCATGGACTCGATAGCAAACAGCTCGTTAACAAAAGAGTGAAGATAATAAAAGGTATAAAGTGGTCAAGAGCGCCACAAAAGCAGACACGATAGGACTCCTATGACCGTTTGCATTTTCAAGTTAGCACGGGAAATTGTAAAATCGGTTAGAAAAAGCCTACATAGCTTAAACTGGACTCATAATTAACCTAATCTAAGGCTAATTTATGACTTTCACGACTAATGTCTAATTATTTACATATTTGCCTGGTAATTGTGCCACCCCAACGTTAAAGGTGTATTAAACATATTACAGTGTAAACTCTATATAACGACACTTAAGGGACCGAACATTTTTCGGCGTTATAAAGAGTGGTCGTTAAATGGAGAGAAATAAAAGATATTATTTTACTATTCTATAATAATATGCATTTACCAATACAGTACACATTTTGCACACGAACATTATTATTCATACATTTGCGTATAGCCTGTTATCTTCGTCTGATGTTTTTTGCTGCTCCAATATTTTAATTGTACTTTGTTACGTATATTACCTACTCATATCTTGAGATACTGCTGGATCAATTTGATTATATAAAAAGTATGTTTTTAATAGTTTCGCTGCATCGAGTGCTTGTTTGATGCTTGGTGGAGGGACAGGATCGTCTTCTTCAATAACGTACACAGCTGCAGTTCTTATCTATTTCGGCAACTTAGAAAGTACTGCTCAATGATTTATAATGCCGTATTGTTGTCGTTAAATAGAGTGAGCGTGACGCTATATAGAGTGTAATATTGTATAGAAAACAATGTAAACCAACCAAAGTCAAGCAATTTCGACGTTTTAAGGAGTTTGTCGTTAAATCGAGTGACGTTATAAAGAGTTTACACTGTATATTATTAGTAAATAAAATTTATTGTAAAAGATGAGCTTTTTTCACTGATATGGATTTTCATCAGGGTTGAAACGATTCAATATTTTCAAGCTAAAGGAAATTTGTCTTTGTTTAATACGATGTCGTGTCTGCATTTACGTCAGTCGTTTTATCAGAATTGTACCTATATTTTAAAACAAAATCCACAGAAATTTGTCCCTGCGAATTTTACCGAAAATATCTACTACAACACTCGCCAATTCCCCGAACACAAGAGATTATCCATTTATCCAGCTTCAAAAGTGTAGCAATGTACGTAATGTAAATGATGGTTTGTACAATGTAACACGTGTGTAAACTTCACGCTTAGTTTTCGGCTTAAATTGGGTGCCAAAATGCGTTTACATCAGCATAGTAACTGTTTATATATTGTCACTGTTCAGTTTAAAGCAGCGAGAAGGCTCGCGACGAAAAATGTGCATTTTAACTGACGAGAAGCTGTTTCAAGGAAAATTTATAACAAACAGTTCAAAGAGTACAATTTAAAATGGAAAAACCGAACTTTGTACATATGATAAACTGATAGATTCACAATCCCCTTGGGATTCTGAACTTTATTTGTGTTAGAATTTCTTCCCAACGTTTCGCTAGTACGAGTGGCGAACATCTTCAGAGGTCCTACCATCTCGGATGTTGGATGCGGCCTGCATCGAAGAAGCTAGCCACTCGTACTAACGAAACGTTACGAAGAAACTCTTACACCTGACGACCTTTAGACCCCCAATCAAAACAGCATCAGTTTACCTACTGGCCGCGAAAGCCTTTACTAATTTGTAGCATCGGCTATAACGACATCTCTGGTATAACGTCCCACAAATCTATTATTCAAACCATTGTTAAAAAGTTCCGACAACATTTTCGAACCTGTTATAGTATTATTATTGCACATTATATTTTATAAATAAGTAACTTAGACTTTTACTATTCCATAATAAAAAATTCTGTTATCATTTCTAAAGGCCTTTGTTAATTGTCGCAGAAACATATTATAAGGGTGGCCTGACCGATGAGATACTAATTTTATGATAGGCGGTACGTACAATAGGCATTGTTATGGTGTTTATTTAGTATTAACACCTATTGATTTGTCGACTATAAATCATTTAATTAAAATTAAATAACGATAAAGTTTTACTTATAAAGCCTTTATAATATTTTCCCGTATGGGGCACCTTTTACCTTATTAAGTACTAAATCATTTCAGTTTTTCGAAGTTCTAATTTCCGTTAGAAAATTATACTTTCACGGATATAATGTTGTTTTTTAAACGTCTAATCAGCCGATTTTAATGTTAGAAAATATAAAAAGTGAAGTCAACCAAAGCAAAGTGAGAAAATTAATTTCTAGTGAAAGTTGCTTCATATGGCGACATTTTGTATATTTATGTGGCTAACTGATTCTAATAATATTCAATATTTACTTATCTATGACAGGATTAATGAAATAAATTAAGCCAAAGATTTATACGCAGAAGAAATTATAACAACAAAAAACTGCTACTATAATATTTTTGTATTTGCTTAAACTCAAGACTTGTATGGATACCTATGATACGTATGCCCCCGTTTCGATGCATATTTATAGTACCCGCTTCATTACTCGTCATTAGTACTTTAAATCGTTTATGTAACAGTGTGGGTCATGATGGTCATCACTTCATAGAACTGGCACCATACCAAATTGCAAACACTAAACTAGATATGAAACGCATGAATCATAAATCGACATAATGGATGTTCATAATATGACACACGATAATATTATTGGTTTGATGAAAAGTCATAAATTCAAACTATACATACATACATAAGTTTATGGATGGAACTACAAAATAATATTTGGGTAAAGAAGTTGAACTGTTAAGGCAGGGGCCAATTTTGGTTCATTCTAAATTTCGAAAAAATTATTCTAAGGCAATGAATTAACTAATTTTTATAATAATTGAAAATATGTGATTCTTGAATGACAATCTGAATTGGTATTGGGTGATAAAACTAGCTTTTATTTAAACAAAACCTAAGATTTTTCAAGAGATTTTTGGACAAAATAGTGAAAGTTTTTCTTATTCCACAATAATTTTTTATATCCTAACTCTGCGAGACATTTAAGGTAGGAGTAGACCTATGAGATTATTTAACAGCAGGTCTGAGGGTTATTTAAAGGGTGCGGAACCCCTGAATAGTAAGTTATTATTTTTCAGGGGAAGTTGTTTTTGTCCCAGAATCATTTTTAGTATCGAAGCGGATATAATGGTTAGTTATAGGGTGCTAAACCCCTCTGTATTAAATTATAATTTTTCAGTTAAAAAGCTTTTCTTGTCCCACAAATTTTTTTGTATCTTACTTCTAAGAGTAATTTAATGTAAGATTATGCCTTTGAGATAAGTATTGGCCAACCGACATGTGGGTTATTTGTAGATGCTAAATTTAAACTAGAGTTAAGATACAAAGATTATATCAAATAACATTCAGTGAATGTGATATAGCGAAACGTTGGAGGTTGTTTTTTGAAAAATAAATTTTACACCTTTTGACTTGACACTAAGTATAAAAAGAGAAAGAATAGGGAATCGAATTTGTGTATTAAGATCCATTACCTATTTTATTAAATGCAAATTTTATTAAAATACGATAATTGTATAACAAAATATGAGTAAATATTAAGTTCTTCAATTGTAAGTATATGTTTATAAACATTACATATTTGAACTACTATATCACGATAATTGGGTTCGAATTATGAACTCCACAAACTTCTTCATAATGTGTACACGTGTTTATGTAAATTGGCTTCCCGAAAGATTAAGTAAGCAATTTAAACGCATGTATGTTTACAATATTTCTGATATGAAAACATTGCCGAACGTCGGTACATGTGTTGTTGTTTTAAGTATTTTTTATAGACATATAACAGTCGTGTATGTTTATAAAACTTTTCATTCATTGATCAACAATATTAACAAGTACTATTTTTGGCTAGGTATCTAATTGTAAATTAAAACTTACCGATACATTGTTGGTTCTGCTTTTGAAGCCCTTATCATTTTCAGCCATTGGGTTCTGTAACAAAAATTTGAAAGTTATAAGTATCGTATGGATATCGAAAAAGAGAAAGTAAATGATGCAAAAAACGGGTGGGTAATGTAAAAAAAAAGGGGGTAATGGACAAAGGTTGAAATTGTAACATCTTCGGACATACATTAAAGAAATAATGATAAAATTATATTATAATAATTATTAATTACCTACATTAGCGAAATGAGATGATGTGGTTGCAAGGTTAAATGTAAAAGCACAAATAGTGAATCGTCCTCAAATTTTTATTTATAGGCAGCTTAAACACCTCGGCGTACCTGAAGGTACTTTGTTAAATTCGTGTTTTATTATTTTAGTATAAATAATGTGAAGAAAATATTTTTAAGGGAATATCTATTTTATTTTTGTTTATATACATAAATATAAAATGCTACTTTATAACAAAAACATCCTTTTCATGTTAACTTTCGGTCAACATAATTTAGGAATTTTATGTTAATATGAAAGTCAAATGTTACAGTTGGAAATATCCACCATAAGCGAGAGTTGTTTTAGAAATTGGGAAAATATCTTGTAAACATAGTTTGCATTATCTAGGTTAATGACTCACCAAGCAATATCGCTGATGGTGCTTTATTCAAATTTATTATTCCATTTTGTTCCGATGCACATCAATCAGCACAATAAGCACTTATCATAACACACATTTTAAATACCGAAACATTCCGAAAATGCATACATGCTAAATATACACACAACGTTCTATCTCGCTCTCAAAAACTTAACGCGAAAATGGCGGCTAGTAGAAAGTTGTATTCATACTCGGCAAGAAATATTAATTATGGAACAGGTAGCGCCACCTCACCTAAATAGGTCGCATTAATTATAAAAACAAATAACTTACACTAGAGCCCTCTACAGACAAAAAGGTGGACAAGTCAAATTATTTTTGGCTAATTTCCCACCATTTTAATAGATATTTTGGTTATGCTTTTAATTTGTACATTCTTTTACTTACATTTTTATAAGTAGTTTTATTCAAATAATTATATAAATTATAAAGATGACCCAGTACCGTAGAATATCGGTTAACACATCGTTGAAAAATGCATTTATTTTTGATGAGGTAAGTTTATCATCTTTTCTTAAAGTTTTAGTATTAAATAGTTACTTATAACAGTAATTTGTCGCAATGAAATCATTATAATTCAATTTGCAGGAATTAGATAGTTTAGAAAATGTTAATAATTCATCATTTGATTGCCAGAAAATTAAGGATGTTCACATTTCTTTAGAAGAGTCTCCTTTACAAATAAACAAAGCACAAGAGGTAAACAATGGATTGGACTCTAAACAAAATATCCTAGTTAAACAAGAACCTTATTCACCTGCACCACTTTCCATTATAAATGAAGAACTTTGTCCCAAAAGAATAATTAAAAGCGAATCTTTGTCTTCTCCTGTTAAGAATGAATATGATACAAAAATAACTTCTATTAAAATAGAATTGTCACCTATCAAAACTGAAGAGGATATCGTTGATAAACAGCAGAGTCTAATCTCTTTGGGCACAAGTGTCATTGATTATTCAGAAGAAATAATTCCCTCTGAAAAACACCTTAAAATAGAAAACAAGGGACCAGATTTAAGAAGTCGACTTAATGCCATAAGAAATAGCAATAAGGACAAGGTAGATGATAAAATATTATCAAGATATGTTCAACAAGAAGAACCACAGCAAAATGATGGAATTATTACAAGAGCTAAGAAAAGAACAGTTTCTGATCATTCTGATGGGTCAAGTTTTACTTCAGAACGCAGTAAAGGTCAACAAAAACGTTCAAAAATAGAAAGGGAACATGATCCTATAGTGTTAAAGAGAAGGCAGAAGCAAATCGACTTTGGAAAGAACACTTTGGGTTATGACAATTATACAAAAACTGTGCCAAAGTATAAGAGAAAAAAGGAAGATCCAGTCACTCCAGATAAGACCATAAAATATTCCAGAAGAGGATGGGATGGACTAATAAAGAAATGGAGATTACAACTGCATAAGTTTGATCCTGACTAAGAAACATTTTTCTTTTTTTTTTTAATTGACTGACAATGGATGTATATTAATATTATTTGTTTTTAAGGCTACAAAAACTAAACTAAATGTTTAGTTTTTTTATTTTAGTATTACAAGAATGTTTATGAAGATAAGGTTTGCTAAAATTTTTTTTTTAAGTCAAAAAGTTTTTTAATTGTAAATAAGTCTAGCAAATAAAACTACTATAAGGAAGTGGTTATTTCTGTTACAGAACTGTTTCCTAAAAGGCTTCACTTTACAAAAGTTTTAATCTAAAATAACTATCAAATTGTTTACCTTTAATTCTCCAAAGTTGACCACAATTAACCGTAAACTGTTAGAGAGTCACATTTTGAAGTTTAAGTAAAAGTAGACACTACATGATATTAAATTGATAATAGAAGAACAATACATAACCTATAATTTATCAACACAAATATAACCTGCAAATCTTGGAAATTTCATTTACTAATAAATAAAAATATTTTATTTTCTAATAAAATGCCTCCCCGAAGAAAGACTAATCTCAGCAGATTAACTGCAAGAGCGAGGAAAATGAAGCGAAAACGTGCAGCAGAATCTCAAATAGAAAGAGAAAAACGCCTAGCGAGGGACAGGTTAAGGAAAGCTTATACAAGGGCTAAGGAGACGCCAGAACAACGTGAGGAACGTTTAAAAATTGGCAGAATTCGTATGAGGCTTTCTCGAAAAAATCGTACAAGTAGAATGGTAATAGTTTTTCGCATTAGACCCATTTAAATTACATTAAAGAACAATATTCTGTAGAAACTAAAATCAGAAGGAAATTCTTCAAACTCGTCCAAGGGTGAGAAGGGAAAAGACTTTCTATTAGACGAAAAACTACTAATAAGAATAAACTGCAACTATGAAGAGGTTGGCAAAAAAATACAGTCATCTGTTAACCCCAGTAAGGTACCTGATTGTACTGAAACAGTAATTATTAAACTAGAACCTCCATCATCACCTTTGCCTTTTTTACCTGTTTAAAGATAGATGTATTAAATTTATTTGAATTTAAATGACATCCATCTGCAAATGCAGATGCCCGAAAAGTAAGAATTAATTTCCAGTAATGCAATATGCTAAAGAAGCGAAATAATGTGGAGTTTATAACATAATTCTTTAAAAAAGGAATATTGTGGACATGGATCAAGTTAACTGAAAGGAATCACAAATTGCCACACCAGAATCACATTAATTTAAGTGTAAAAACTTGATGTTAATCAAATATGAAAAGTTGAAGATAATGAGTAAATAAATATTTTATATGCACTCCATGTGTACTTTTTTGACTTTTACACTTCATTTTTTTTCTCATAAAACAGACGGTGTATTAATTTAGTTAATACTTTAGTTGGAAAAAACAGCATTTTTGCTGAACAATAATTTTACTTGGAAATTTAAACAATTAATCAATACTTCTTAAATTTAACACTTACAGTGACTATTCATCTTCTACATCAACTTCAGGAACAAGAACACTTTCTGCAAATCTTTCTAATTGAGTTTTATCATTCACAAATACATTTCTATATCTGGGAGGTATTTGTTTCAACTGGGGTTTAATGAGCTCATTATTTTTCAACGAATTAAACAATTCTTGAGCTCTAGTCACAATATCTTTTTTTAATCCCATAGCAGTGGCCACATCGAAAGCAAAACTCATAGAAACACCTTGAACTACTTTATACAAGAACACCAACTTCTCGTCTTCTAAAATATAATCCATTTTGAGGTAATTTATTAGTGGTGAATCGGGCAAAAACTCTATGAGAGTCTGATAATGGGTCGAGACAAGTACATGTGGACAATTATTCTTCTGATGTATAAACGTTTTAAGAGTACCAGCTAATAGAGCCCTTCCATCTTCTCCGGCAGTTCCTCGTCCAAATTCGTCTATAAGAACGAGAGACGATTGTCCACTGTTATGAAGGATCTGGGACATCTGCAAATATATTTGGAATTATGTGGTGGTATTCCTAAAATTTCCTTTGCAATTTACCTGTACCAAATCTATCATATGTGCTGATAAAGGCACACTAGCAGTTTCTGTAGCAGATATCCTCGAATATATACTATCTACAATTCCTATATTGGCCCCATCGGCCGGTAAGCAAGACCCTATATGAGCCAAATACATTAGTATTGCAACTTGCTTTAAATATACACTTTTTCCGCTCGAGTTGGGTCCCGTTAGGATTTTTATTCGATTTATGTTATTACCCCCGGAAACGTAATTATTGTCCACGAAATTCGCCAGGTGAAGTTCGAAAATTGGATGACGACCGTTCACTATTTCGTGAAAGTTATCGTTGTTTAACTGAGGACGAATGTAATTCCCTTCTTTTGCGACCATTGACATTGCTATTAAGCTAAAATACATTTTGTACTTTGCAGAACATAATAAATTCAAAGGGACTTTACCAATCGATTCTGGATATTATATGCAACGATTCACGAATATTTTTGCTATGTTGCAACACAAAGCCCGACAGTCTTTGTATTATTCTTGTTTCGTGAGCTAATATTTCTTGCTGTATGTTACCTAAGCGCTTATCTAATTCTACAAATTAAAACTGTTTAAACACACAAAATAAAATTTGTTCTACACATTTTACCTTTGCAAAGACTGTTTTTGTATAATAAATTATTCCTCACTTGGAACTAAAAATTTCATATAAAGACACATTTTTGCTTTTATAAAATTATGGCTAACCCTTACCACAAATTGATATCCAATACCCTGGAGTGTGTCCTTGTCGCAATCAGGTTCCCATTCTTTAATAGAAACTAGGTGCCCCATTTCCGGCAAAAAAACAACGCTACATTCGTTAATGAAGTCTGGTAATTGATTTACAGCAAAATTGGCTGCCGCAGTTATTGTTTTAGCAATATCCTTTTGCTTTAACTTTTCTTTAAGGAAAAAATCCCATTTAAAGTAAACGAAATGTACAATATAAAAAACAGACTCACTTTCATCAAGTTCGTTGTCTAAACCGAACTTTATGAGGGGACGTTGGTTTTTATCAAGTACCGAAAGTTCCAAAGTTCTATTTATAGTCTCTTGAAGATTATACAACTCTGTGGTCACAAAAGAGTCTAGTTCTTGTAAAATTGGGAGCGATTGACGATAACGGCGACACTGTTCATTTATGCAAAGCATATGACAAATCGTCTGTATAGACAAAAAATGTTAATAAGAACAACAAAACGGGCAGTAGGCCCTTACCTTATGTAACGTGTTCCAACTATTGGTTTTAGCTTGAGAGTACAGTATTTTCACTAATATTTTCTGAAAAAAATGAAACAGTCAAATTACTTCATAAATTGCATGCATATGTAAACAGGTAGTTGCTATGTTGGAAATTGTATATAAATTAGTCATAAACTATTTGTAAATGCCTACCTACATTTAAATCGGAAATATGCTTAATTTCTTCAGTTATGTTTTCTATAAAACTCTGATTCCTTGGTTCCATGGCAAATTCAATGAAATCTAAACGATTACATAACTCAGACAAATTTTTACTTGGATTCATCATCAAGTACCTGAAAAATAGAAAAAAATTAGTAAAAGAAAACATATTTTCTGAATGGCTTTACCTCATGTGTAAATGGCCTATTTTAGACTTGCAGTGCTGTGAAAAAAGTTTGAAAAGACCAATCCCTTCTTTATTACTACTTTCACCACCATGCTTGAATCTGGCATCATGGGTTTTAACTTTGAAAATTTGTAATGCATTAAAGGTGTTTCGATCTATGAACACCCTGTCAGCTCTGTAGAATAAATAAAAATATTTAATATTCTTTCATATAAATCTGATTACAGATTAAATAACATACAAGGAAAGTCTGTTAATATGAATAAACTGTAAAGTAGTGTTATTGTCATCTCGAAATGAAGTCCAATTTTTTTCTATAAATTTGATTAAAGCACCTAATGCATGTACAGACAATTTATTGTCCAAATCAATTAATGAATGAAGTAATATTTCTTTTTCTTTTTGGGTTGCATCTATAGGCTGAGAAGCCAAATGGGTTTCAAAAATTTTAGCAATACATACTTCAAATGCTAGAATAAAATACATACTTCGTGTAATGTGGCTCATATAATCATACATTACTTACCATAAGTTTTAAATGAAAGAAGAGTTACATTAGGGGGCAAATTTCTTGTTTGTTCTGACTTCAATGTGTTATCACTATTTGTTACTATATCAATTAGACTTTTAATAAATACATCTGTCATTGAACCAATTGTTATTACATGAAGTGGACTTGTTTCCTGGATTAAAGCCTTCATAACTCTATACTCTGGTTGGAGATCAATCATTTCTTGCATAAAGTAAAGCTGATAAGTTAAAAAATATTATTTACTTCACTCTTATAAATTACCTTTTGATTTACAAACCTGACGCTCAGCAATTTTGTAATATGATGCTCCTAGCTTATTATTTTTCCAAAATATACTTAAAATTATGTCTAAATTGTTCAACTTAGTTGTATTTGTTTCTTCACTTTCCACAATTAACCGTGAATGTAAATCACTGGCACCGGTTGATGAGGTTTGATTATCAGGAAATAACACTTCTTTTTGTGTAATTTTCATTACCGTGTAACCTTCCGACACTCCAGACATTGTTAGATTGTTCTAAAAACACTTTTATTAGTAATAACTTTTTGAGATATTGTTTAAAATACTTTTATTGATGAATGTAGTCAAATATATATGGTTACAATTGGTTAGAAACTTCGAAGGTTAGAAATGGAATCTATGGGCGTCTATGAGAAATGGTTAAAACAATAGATTGGTTCAACCCATAGACAAGAGAGCTTCAACCCATAGGTTCAACCATAAACAAACTACCTCAACCAACCAAAGAGTGAAAAACAACTCGAATTCCCGATATATATTTCTATGGGTTATTATCTATGTGTGTCTATTATTGTTAGCAATAGTTAGGTTAATCAATATAATTAAGTGATAAACATTAAAAATATTAAAAAGTAGCACAAAATTAATTCTAAGAAGTTTCAACATTAACAAAGATCAATCAAAATGGCACTTGCTATGCAAAGGAAGGCAAACGTAAGTTTCGGTTAAGTTTACTCATTATTAATATTCTAATTTTAATTATTTACTTTCTCAATTTGTTATTAACTGAGTATTCTAATCATTTCAAGGTCCGTTTGCCCCCTGAGATTAACAGAATACTGTACGTTAGAAACTTACCTTATAAAATTACTGCTGAAGAGATGTACGATATTTTTGGAAAATATGGTGCAATTAGGCAGATACGAGTCGGAAATACTCCTGAGACTAGGGGGACTGCTTTTGTAGTTTATGAGGATATATTTGATGCTAAAAATGCATGTGATCATTTATCAGGTTTTAATGTTTGTAATAGATACCTTGTTGTGTTATATTATCAGGCCAGTAAAGCATTTAAGAAAACTGATTTGGAAAAGAAGGCTGAAGAACTGGAAAAAATGAAATCAAAATATGGTATTAATACTTAAAAATAGTTTTAAGAGTATGTTAGGTATATTGTAATTATAACAAAATCAGTTTTTTTTCTTTCTAATATGTGACTATCAACTTTGTATTAGTAAAATAAAGTATATATTTACGATCTTAACTATTTTATTAACACAAAAAAATAACTTTGGTACAATGAAGTCAATTAAAAACATCTAAGAAACTGAGCATTAGTTGAAATTTAAAAATTAACCAAAATTATACCATATTTACTTAACATTTAATTAACAGAATTACACATATAAGCTGCACATTTAATAATTAGTAAGAAATCGTTTAAATTATGTCACATCACAAATAATGACATAATAAATCATTACAATCTCTTAATTTACTGATTATGTGAGAGTTAAAAGACAGCACACCTACAATACATATACATGTGGCATAATAAGTAGTATGAGGGTGCGAAAAAAGTACAGAAATTTCGAAAAAAGTAATAGAAAAGGATTGACTAGTCAATACATGTGTTGTATTTCAATTCTTTTTTTATTTTAATGTATACGTTTTCGCTTCGGGACTTACCCCGATGACTACTTAGGAACTTATTCTCGTAAGTTAAGGCTATTTGTGCTAACTAAAATGTTCATTACACTGAACAAAGGATAAAGTGTGCAGGTTATTCTTTCGGGGAAGCCCCGTGCGGTAAATGTGTCGAAAAACTTCTCAAGCCTAATGTTTAAACTATAATTTTCCCATTTTCAATATTAATTAACGAGAAATGAAAGGATGAATATGATTAAAAGATTATTTTTTACATTAAAACTTGGATTTTAAATTGCTACTTGTAATTATCGTATTATCATTATTATCATTAATAATATGTATATTATAGCATAGTAGTACTGTAACCCTAAGCGATAAAACACCGATACTTCTTTATATGTATCTTTATATAATTACAATAATATAATAGACGATTAATGAATCGTGAAGCTGCAACAAATGTGGTAAACCTTCGATTACATCTCTTCGTCATTAGAGAGTCAAATAAATAAGCTGTGGCGGCGATAGCACAACCTCAGTCATATTTTAATTAATTCATCAATTAATTGATTAATTACAAAAAAAGAAAAACATTTTCGCCGACCACACCTAAACCTATTAAATAATTATCAACCATCGATCCTAATATCTTGCGCGAACTACTACATGGTGGCCATTTTCAGGGAAAGGAAATCTAAGTGGAAAATATTAGAGAATGAACATTTTCTGGAATAGCCAAAGAATTGTAATAGAAGTAAAGATTTTTTGACTGTTCGTCGTCATGAAAATAATACGAGTCAGGATGGTAAACAATTAATATTAGAAAAAAATGATACATTAAATGATTTTCTTGATCTTTTTCATCATAAGTTATTAATAAGTTGGTCAGCCAATTTATTAATATGTAATAGTCTGAGAATTAAATTAATTTCTGGCCACCATATATGTACTAAAAATGTATTTACGAAAAAAAAGTTTGCTAACTATTATATAACACGCGCTTTTGTGTCATCTGTAGCAAGCCAAAAAGCTTCTAGAGCAGTAAACTACCTAAAAATCCCTACACAACAAAAACTGATAAAAAATACAATACCTCGTATTTTTACTTTTTTTTTAATTAAATTACTTGGCAATTTTCTTATTCCTTACTACGTTTTGATTGACCATTGTTAGTCCAGTTTTGAGCAACAATTTTCACGTCTGTTTACCTTTCTTTCTTTTTTTGCTACAGAAGACAAACCACAAAATTAATAAAAAGCGGTCACAAACCTCAAAATATCACATCACATACGGAGCCACTGTACATAATTATATAAACTAACTTATATCCCTTATCTCGATTAAATATAATATCCTAAAAATGGAGCAGCGGCTCGAGAAGTCGAAGTTTTTTTCAAAAATATCAAAAACTAAAAATCGCACAGTAATTATAATAATAATTAACGTTGTTCAAATTGAATAGTAAATACTGTCTCATAAACAACACACTTTTTTCTTTTAATAAAAAAAAGCAAAAATAAGGAATAAAAAATGTGTAGAAAAAAATTGTCAAATGACGAGTGTCGTTTATGGACAGTGTTAAAAGACATCGAAACATGGCAGTAAAATTGAATAAGAAAAAAATCAATAGAATGAATTTACAGATTACACTGCCACAGTATCGTAGGTTGTGAATCCCCCGTTTGCTGTTTGGTGGCCTGCTTCGTTTCTATAACAGAAAACTTATTTTATATCATAATCATAAGGTTTATAATTTTTTTATCGGACTTCTTTCAAGCGTTATAAAGGCGGTGGGTGCAAGTTAATTACACATATAAAGCACAAACGTTTGTTTTTTGTCATGCATTTAGTATAAAAAAATCATACACATATAAGAAAGACAAAAAATAAATAAAAAAGCCTTAGTTGTAAGACCATTCATAAAAAAGTGAGTAATAAACTACCCACAATACATAACAAAAATTAAGTTCATAATAAAATTTTATACCTTCTCAAAAACAAAAAAAAGTTAAAAAGCGTAATCTTTTTCATTTGAAATAAAAATGTGCAATTTTATAAACAAATTCCGTGCAACAAGTATTTTATCACTTACGATTTCCTGCTTGAGAGGAAATTCATGAAATTATTAACAGAATATTAACTGAATGTATCAATAGTCCTTGTACTTCTCAATTTTTAATTTTTAATGTAGTCTGCATAATGCACATGTACATATGAATACTTAAAATGATTTCTTTAACATAAATTTAACAAACAATAAAGGTCGTAGTCGGGTAAGAATGGACGAAGTACCACCCAATTAAATCGCGCAATTTTGTTCAAGTTACAACTAATTTAGAAGTTGATAAATATCATACTGGAAGCAGCACAGGTTTTCAAATGCAGCTTCTAAGACATAGAGGTCTAGTTAGATATATTAGAGGTATAAACAGGAGTTAAGAGAGGCAGAGGAATACTAGTTTTAGAGAAATGCCAAGTTTGATTTAGGATATGAGGAATTAGGGGTGTGTATTCAAGCGGCCTTCAGACTACTGACTATGTTATGATGATATTTTTTTACTCCTTAATTATTGACTAAATCTTAAGAAAAACTGGTAACGTGCATAAGGGGTAGTCAGACCTATAGATGCGGTGTTAGATTACCCATGTTCATCCGACTATGACCTTCTGCCAGTTCTTTTCAATTTTGTAATGTTGAGAAATTGTAAATGAGAATCCTCAACAGTAGTGCTCAATCAATGTTATTTTGATGAGTATACATTTTAACACAAGATATAATATACATTACTGGAAAAATAATGTCGAAGTTGTAAAGGTTACTAACCTCTCAATCAGTTTGCGCATTTCTTCGTGGGTCATGCCATCCTTAGCACTACCTCTCATTACTGAAAACAATTCACATTTACTACACGATCACGATAGGACACGTCTAATTTCACGACAAACATTTTTCATTAATTATATATAATAAAAAACCAAATTCTAATAATGAATTACAATCAGTAAAACAATATTCTCAAATAAATAATGTAATGCTTAAATGTGTGCAATGCTTTCGATTATGCAGTGACAAAAAAAATAATAAAATGAAATTTTAAACATAAAAACAACATGCTGTTAACACACACAGATATACACACACTCGAAGATTGTTATCCATTTGTTAATTAGTTGAATTGTAGTGCAAATTATCACTTTTTTTTTGTATGCACCACAACCGTTTTATTAACATGCAGACATGTCACAAATATTAGATAAAAAGTGTTTAAAATTAATGATTATGAAATGATGGTTGACAAATGAAATGTGAAATATCGATTTTTCTAACTAATAGTTTATGATAGTAAAACAACACTATCTAATTTTGAAAACAAACTTACCCTCTTCTTTTTCTGAAAAATATAAAACAAAGTGGGTTTTTAAAATTGCCAATTATAACATTACTTTTTCTAATCTAGCTTAGTTTCCGTTAAATATTAGATATTATTCATCATAAACACCCCAAAGAAATGTCTTCCTTGTAGGACAAAAAGGAATGAATATAAAAATATATCCAATAATTCAACTATTAAAATAAATTTCCTTTTCTCATTCAAGGATGACATTTGGTCCTTTCCGNTAACTTTTAATTTTCATACGTAAAATGTATATATTCCACTGTCCTATTTTAAGTTTGTTTTATCCTTTATTCTTAGTGTTTTACATATACCTAGTTGTTGCCCAAAATTAGATTTACAAATGTCTTGTAAAAGAAATGAAACAATTTGGGGTGTAAATTTCTTACTACGGTTATCTGAAGTGTTTCGTTTTTATTATAAGAGGTTGTACATGTAGTAGGTATAGGTCTATAAAGGTGTTCCTCTAGCAATGATATTGTATTTTGGTGACACAAAATACAGTATTTTTTATATGAAATTATTGTACCCTGTGATGTTTACACAAGATTTTATTGTTTATTTATGTTGATTACGTAATATGTTGTCTCAAATAAATTAAGGTTATACATATTATCAAATTTCTTTTTCGCGAATCAAATTCATTGCCATTTAAAATTTATCACCCCGTATAAATTTCCTTTTCTCATTTAAGGATGACATTTGGTCCTTTCCGTTCCCCCTTTTTTCCATCCACTCTAAAGCAAAATAAGGCTTTCATTTTCCACAATAATTCAACTATTAAAATAAATTTCCTTTTCTCATTCAAGGATGACATTTGGTCCTTTCCGTTCCCCCTTTTTTCCATCCACTCTAAAGCAAAATAAGGCTTTCATTTTCCACAATACTATTACTACTAACGTACCCCCATAACTGCGACTATTTATCAGTTGATCCCTATCGCATTCAGCTTCGGATATTTCATTGCTGTCCTTGGAGTCATTAAATGAAGGGTCGTGATTACGAGGTGGTGGTGGGGGAGGTTCGGGGCTTCCGTTGTTTGGCTGAAGTCTCATGGAACCCATGGATCGTCTACCTATTGAACCACGACTTCCATATTGATCGTAAGGTGCGTTGTAGCCTCCGTATTGGGATCCATATTGCTCGTCTTCTGGGGCGCAGTTAGCTGGGTCGTCATATTCAGGTCCTGGGGAATATATGCTTCCGTTTCCTGACACATTACAAAACAAAAATTATAAGGCTTTTAAAATATACTGATTAATAAAAAGGAGGAAAATAAATATTACCTTGAGAACCACCTCTTTCGTATCTTTTGTTAGAACGAGGCATGGACTGAGATCCTGAACGAGAATGCATGGAGTGGGGAGTGTTCATTCCTGATGGGCCCATTGTACCAGCATGGGGATGAGGGAAAGTTTGGAATTGTTGAACTTTGCTTGGGTCCATCTCTTCGCGAAAACCAAGTAGATGGAAGGTGGCGTAGGGGCAGATTTCGTCGTCCATGCCTTAATAGCAATTAAGACCAAATTTAAACGGATAAAATACAAAAATAATTACGTAAATATTACAATTTTATAAGAATGTACAGTATGCAGTAAAAGTATGTGCAAAAATTTTAGTACAATAATAAACACTACATGCAGGGCAAATAATTACATTAAATTATCGTGCAAGAAGAACCATAAAGACTTACGTATTAGTATAGGGGCACAAACAGTTTTCTAGGTAAGTTTGTTAGTTTTTATTGTTGGAGATTTAACAAGAAAAAACATGCATTTCAATTAGTGACCTTTTTTTTAATGGTAATGCTACTAAAGGCAAATCAAAAGAGTACTAATTTCAATTAACCAGGTGCCTCTATAGTTCGAACAACACGTGAATCATAATTTCTCGCGACTTTTTCTGTAAACGTTTAATTTCAAACACACCCGCTCAAATAAAAAGAAAAAAGAACTGTTATTTCCAAACAAAAAAGCGATTCACCCAAATCATGAAAAAATGAAACAAAAACGATCAATGTCTTTTACCTCTGTGGGTGTGTATAGTTTCGTTAGAGCCTCTCCTTTGATTGTTAAGTTCTTCGTAAAGGTGTCGTCGTGGGTCCCAAGTGGAGTGTGAACGATAATGTGGCCCTAGCAATGTATAACATAAAGTAACAAGCGGAAACAGCTCTCATTCCTCTCCTTTTCACTTAAAACAATTTACAGCAAATAATATATACACAAATCACGAATAGAAAGAAGACGATTGACTCGACGACAGCTAAATCTATTACAGAAAATCTAAATGTGGCACTACGTAAGCACAGCAAAGAAAAATATAACACCTTATGATAATCACCAAGAGAGACATTAGAGACTTCTAAATAGATACTTCTTTCGTAATTGACTCGTTTTTGTATTCGATTCGTAATGATTAATGAATATGAGGATTTATTTTTTTTGAAACAAAGTCAGCACTTTTTAACTTGAATTCAAAGAAAGAAAATTCAAAAGAAAACATCTCCTTTAAATGTGGAGTTACTCCTAAACCATACAAGGAATGACAATATGTAATTTTGAAAAAGTTTGTTTTAAGACAACCTAACTCTATATTGTATCTCTTGTAGTTGAATTTTTTGTTTTCATGTTAAAAGTTGTAAAAATTTAATACCATAATAATACAATAATATATCCTTATATTCACTAATATCATTCTACAATAAAAATTCTTTAAGGAGAGTACTATAATGTCCATTGGTAAAATTGACGGTGACGGGGTGACCGGGGCACTTAAAACGATATTTTTTCTTGTCAAAAAAAGGAATAACAATTAACACAAACAAATTAAAGATGTAAATTGTAAATAAATGTACTGTCCAATTACCGAAGAAGAGAAAACACTTGTGACATGCAATATTAAAAAAAATAAAAAGCAAAAAGCGTTTCTTACTTAAAACGGTACCTCGCTTGATTCGATCGCATGTGTTGTAGTTGGATCCAGGAACGGGGGGTAATTTCCGGTTGGGGGGTGCGATGTAGCCTAGTTCGTCCCGTAAATCGGGGCGGCGTTTATCCAGCGTCGATGTTGCGTTAACTGATTGATTATAAACAACATCATCTAAAAACACAAGTCGTTTGTTGAACAAAAACATGCGGGTTTACAGAATTTCGTTCAAATATTTTCTCTGTTATTTTCGGCAAATTTTGACTGTATACATTTTCTTTCTAATATAATATGAATAACGAATTTTTGTTTTCTTTTTAACGAAATTCTATAAAAGTTTGTAATATTAGGCAAAAGGATCTTAACGCAATAAACGTTTCTATACAGTTCCTCCTACTCAGGGATTATATAAAGAAAGTACCCAGTAACACTGGTTGGGTTATTGTAAATAAAAGCCAATTCGTATTTCTGCCTAACATTGCAATCAATTAAATTTGCTATAAGATTAAAATTGCTCCAGAACAATTCCGACGGTGTTCCTGAAAATAGAGTAATTTTTTAAGACATACAGTCGCTTCTTAAACGGGTCTGGGGCATGCTTTGTGACCTCCTCGTCATGGCCACACAGATAACGACAATTCCTACGATGATAACAGTGACTGTAGCCACTAAGGGTACGAGAAGATTTAAATCAATCCAATCTGGTAGCCAAGGGAAAAGCATCTTGACATCCGGAGCCTCTCTAACCGGTGGGATGGTTCCTGAAAAACGTAAGAAAACTCGGAGAAAGACGTTAATAATTTACCTTTGTGATAGTTTCCGCGGCCGCGAAGCACACAAATGACGATAATAGCGACAATAATGACTAGGACGGCAGATACCACAGGTACTACTAGGTTAAGGTTGGCCAAGATCATGTGGATAGTGTCCTCTTTGGGGATTTCTCGGGCGGGGGCAATAGTACCTGAAACCGAAAGCAAGGCTCGTCTCTCTCACGTACACTAACAAACAATCAATTATTAACAGGCAACATTTAGTAATTTTCAGGTACTATTGCTACTAAGACACTGGCTACAGGATACACTGATCAAAATTATATAACAAAAAAGTCCATTCTATACTTTGCCACTGAAATAAATAATTAAATAATAAATAAACAAGCAAACAAAGTATTTGAAAATTAAAATGTACAATAACACCACAATATATAAAGCGAGAACATCTACCTCGTGCAATAACCATTAATTAAATCTTATAAGCATGAGAACATTCATAAATAAAGACTTAATAACTAAATATTTACCTCCAGTAACAGTTAAAGTAGCAAATTCGTATTCGGCAACGTTGAAGCCAGCATTATTATGAGCGGTGACACGAAGGTGATACCAAATGGCAGGATCAAGATCCAATACCACAAAATTACCACCTGGCTTTACATTATTTGATACCTGGATCCATTCTGAACTAGTCCTAGAACAAGCACATTATAATATGGGCGAATAAAATATCTATCAAAAAGGGAATACTTCTTCTTGTGTTCAATTACGAAGTATAGCATAGGACAACCCCCATCAGACCAAGCACTTAAGTGTAGGGTGATACTGTTAGAGGAAACCTCGATAAATTTGTCTGCTGTTGGGATTATGGGTTTATCTCCACGAGTACGAGTATTTAAAATGTCAGATGGATCTCCAGTTCCAATACTAAAAGAATCAAGTCATTATTAAGCGTCAGGATTATTTCCTAATTTGTTAACTTGAACTTTTATTATTAGTTACCTATTGTATGCCGTGACGTAGAGCTGATATCTGGTACCACAAAGTAAATTTTCTAAATTGAATTTGGTAGTGTGGCTGGCCACCTGCGTCGTTTCCCAGTCCCCGAATTCAGGCTTATAGTGAATGGTATATCCATGAATGGGTTCGCTGTCGTCAGGATGAGGTTTCAGTTTGATTGTCAAAGAATTTGTGGTCGTGGACGTCAAAGTTACCTAAAGAAGAAGTAGATTATTATCAAAAAGACGATTGAAGTATTTAAAACACTTACCAAAGGTGAATGCGGAGGTGAATAGACGATTAGTTGGTGGGTGACGCTGTCTTGACCAAAAGAATTTTCAACGTTGCAAGAATATTCGCCGGCATCGGTTCGAGTTACATCACGAATAAAAAGTGATCCATCGGGTTGTTGTCGTATACGATCGTTGGTGGTAAATACGACCCCCTTTATTTTCCAAACTATCTCAGGTTGTGGTACTCCGACAGCTAGACAGGGAAGGGTCACGTCTTCCTTGTAGGTGGTGGTGAACGAGTCATCGAATGAAGCAATTTTCGCAGGAACTCTGGTACTAGGAGCTACAATGACGCTCTTTGAAGGTTGCCCTTCTCCAATGTTGGTTGATGCGGTAACCCAAAATTCGTATTTCAGTTTGCTATCCAAATCTTTGGCTTGATAACTCAGATTTTGATTTCTGATGTTCGGAACAATCTTTTGGGATCGTGGTTTCGAATCGGTGTTGAGTTCGTCACTTTCGGCCTGACCAGCTTCACGAACATAAACTGTATATTGCTCCACAATACCATTGGGTTCTACCGGCGGTTTCCAACTGACCAAAATCGATGTAGAAGACATCACCAAGGCCTTGATAGCAACAGGAGCTTCTGGAACTGTAACCACACAAATAATATAAATAAATTTAGTGTACCCACAACACTTGAGCTATACCATCTTGCTCTGTCTGACAATGAATTGGGTTGCTTCGTACACCATCGCCACCAGATGTATATGCAAGCACTTGCATGCTATAGTTGGTATATTTCTTAAGTCCGTGTAAGATTGTCTCGGATGAAGCAGTAATTTTGGTATCCTTTGTATTTTCGTCTACAAATAGAAGAATTCAAACACTAATTCTGGGATAGGTAGTGGATGAACGCGTTCATTACTTACCAAACCAGGAGTCAGAGGGACCGTAAATAACTTTGTAGCCTTTGATAACACCATTGGCAGTGTTAAGAGGGGGCGATGTCCATGACACTCTGATCGTTTGGGCGGTTAAGGTGGTGCAAATGGTATCGTGGGGTGGCTGTTCTGGGGTTCCTTCAGCGGTATACGCTTTGATTTCTTCCGACATGGGACCAGCACCGACTTTGTTAAAGGCTTGAACGACGATAGAGTATTGAGTGTAGGTCTTCAAATTGGTAATCTAAAGGAGAATTTAACGAACGTTAATGGAAAAAATCAAGACCTAAAAAGAAAAAGAAAAGAGCACCTGTAAATGATGTTCTTTTCCTTCTTCGCGACTAAATTCGACGGTTTCAAAGAGGAAAGGCTTGTCAGAAGAAGCAGGTTTATAGCCGACATAATAGCCAAGAATTTCTCCGTTCCATTCGGACCTGGGTGGTGGTTTCCAGAAGACTTTTAGAGAATGCTGATCACTGTCATCGACGCGGATTGATGTCGGTGGAGCGCCAGGTGATTCTTCGGCCGTGATAATAGTCACAGTATCAGACGGGTCGCTAGAACCAATTTCGTTTTCGGCTACGATACGAATATGATACGTGGTGGCCGGTTTCAAGGTGTAAACTCCTGCCTCGNCTTGTTGTGTTATATTATCAGGCCAGTAAAGCATTTAAGAAAACTGATTTGGAAAAGAAGGCTGAAGAACTGGAAAAAATGAAATCAAAATATGGTATTAATACTTAAAAATAGTTTTAAGAGTATGTTAGGTATATTGTAATTATAACAAAATCAGTTTTTTTTCTTTCTAATATGTGACTATCAACTTTGTATTAGTAAAATAAAGTATATATTTACGATCTTAACTATTTTATTAACACAAAAAAATAACTTTGGTACAATGAAGTCAATTAAAAACATCTAAGAAACTGAGCATTAGTTGAAATTTAAAAATTAACCAAAATTATACCATATTTACTTAACATTTAATTAACAGAATTACACATATAAGCTGCACATTTAATAATTAGTAAGAAATCGTTTAAATTATGTCACATCACAAATAATGACATAATAAATCATTACAATCTCTTAATTTACTGATTATGTGAGAGTTAAAAGACAGCACACCTACAATACATATACATGTGGCATAATAAGTAGTATGAGGGTGCGAAAAAAGTACAGAAATTTCGAAAAAAGTAATAGAAAAGGATTGACTAGTCAATACATGTGTTGTATTTCAATTCTTTTTTTATTTTAATGTATACGTTTTCGCTTCGGGACTTACCCCGATGACTACTTAGGAACTTATTCTCGTAAGTTAAGGCTATTTGTGCTAACTAAAATGTTCATTACACTGAACAAAGGATAAAGTGTGCAGGTTATTCTTTCGGGGAAGCCCCGTGCGGTAAATGTGTCGAAAAACTTCTCAAGCCTAATGTTTAAACTATAATTTTCCCATTTTCAATATTAATTAACGAGAAATGAAAGGATGAATATGATTAAAAGATTATTTTTTACATTAAAACTTGGATTTTAAATTGCTACTTGTAATTATCGTATTATCATTATTATCATTAATAATATGTATATTATAGCATAGTAGTACTGTAACCCTAAGCGATAAAACACCGATACTTCTTTATATGTATCTTTATATAATTACAATAATATAATAGACGATTAATGAATCGTGAAGCTGCAACAAATGTGGTAAACCTTCGATTACATCTCTTCGTCATTAGAGAGTCAAATAAATAAGCTGTGGCGGCGATAGCACAACCTCAGTCATATTTTAATTAATTCATCAATTAATTGATTAATTACAAAAAAAGAAAAACATTTTCGCCGACCACACCTAAACCTATTAAATAATTATCAACCATCGATCCTAATATCTTGCGCGAACTACTACATGGTGGCCATTTTCAGGGAAAGGAAATCTAAGTGGAAAATATTAGAGAATGAACATTTTCTGGAATAGCCAAAGAATTGTAATAGAAGTAAAGATTTTTTGACTGTTCGTCGTCATGAAAATAATACGAGTCAGGATGGTAAACAATTAATATTAGAAAAAAATGATACATTAAATGATTTTCTTGATCTTTTTCATCATAAGTTATTAATAAGTTGGTCAGCCAATTTATTAATATGTAATAGTCTGAGAATTAAATTAATTTCTGGCCACCATATATGTACTAAAAATGTATTTACGAAAAAAAAGTTTGCTAACTATTATATAACACGCGCTTTTGTGTCATCTGTAGCAAGCCAAAAAGCTTCTAGAGCAGTAAACTACCTAAAAATCCCTACACAACAAAAACTGATAAAAAATACAATACCTCGTATTTTTACTTTTTTTTTAATTAAATTACTTGGCAATTTTCTTATTCCTTACTACGTTTTGATTGACCATTGTTAGTCCAGTTTTGAGCAACAATTTTCACGTCTGTTTACCTTTCTTTCTTTTTTTGCTACAGAAGACAAACCACAAAATTAATAAAAAGCGGTCACAAACCTCAAAATATCACATCACATACGGAGCCACTGTACATAATTATATAAACTAACTTATATCCCTTATCTCGATTAAATATAATATCCTAAAAATGGAGCAGCGGCTCGAGAAGTCGAAGTTTTTTTCAAAAATATCAAAAACTAAAAATCGCACAGTAATTATAATAATAATTAACGTTGTTCAAATTGAATAGTAAATACTGTCTCATAAACAACACACTTTTTTCTTTTAATAAAAAAAAGCAAAAATAAGGAATAAAAAATGTGTAGAAAAAAATTGTCAAATGACGAGTGTCGTTTATGGACAGTGTTAAAAGACATCGAAACATGGCAGTAAAATTGAATAAGAAAAAAATCAATAGAATGAATTTACAGATTACACTGCCACAGTATCGTAGGTTGTGAATCCCCCGTTTGCTGTTTGGTGGCCTGCTTCGTTTCTATAACAGAAAACTTATTTTATATCATAATCATAAGGTTTATAATTTTTTTATCGGACTTCTTTCAAGCGTTATAAAGGCGGTGGGTGCAAGTTAATTACACATATAAAGCACAAACGTTTGTTTTTTGTCATGCATTTAGTATAAAAAAATCATACACATATAAGAAAGACAAAAAATAAATAAAAAAGCCTTAGTTGTAAGACCATTCATAAAAAAGTGAGTAATAAACTACCCACAATACATAACAAAAATTAAGTTCATAATAAAATTTTATACCTTCTCAAAAACAAAAAAAAGTTAAAAAGCGTAATCTTTTTCATTTGAAATAAAAATGTGCAATTTTATAAACAAATTCCGTGCAACAAGTATTTTATCACTTACGATTTCCTGCTTGAGAGGAAATTCATGAAATTATTAACAGAATATTAACTGAATGTATCAATAGTCCTTGTACTTCTCAATTTTTAATTTTTAATGTAGTCTGCATAATGCACATGTACATATGAATACTTAAAATGATTTCTTTAACATAAATTTAACAAACAATAAAGGTCGTAGTCGGGTAAGAATGGACGAAGTACCACCCAATTAAATCGCGCAATTTTGTTCAAGTTACAACTAATTTAGAAGTTGATAAATATCATACTGGAAGCAGCACAGGTTTTCAAATGCAGCTTCTAAGACATAGAGGTCTAGTTAGATATATTAGAGGTATAAACAGGAGTTAAGAGAGGCAGAGGAATACTAGTTTTAGAGAAATGCCAAGTTTGATTTAGGATATGAGGAATTAGGGGTGTGTATTCAAGCGGCCTTCAGACTACTGACTATGTTATGATGATATTTTTTTACTCCTTAATTATTGACTAAATCTTAAGAAAAACTGGTAACGTGCATAAGGGGTAGTCAGACCTATAGATGCGGTGTTAGATTACCCATGTTCATCCGACTATGACCTTCTGCCAGTTCTTTTCAATTTTGTAATGTTGAGAAATTGTAAATGAGAATCCTCAACAGTAGTGCTCAATCAATGTTATTTTGATGAGTATACATTTTAACACAAGATATAATATACATTACTGGAAAAATAATGTCGAAGTTGTAAAGGTTACTAACCTCTCAATCAGTTTGCGCATTTCTTCGTGGGTCATGCCATCCTTAGCACTACCTCTCATTACTGAAAACAATTCACATTTACTACACGATCACGATAGGACACGTCTAATTTCACGACAAACATTTTTCATTAATTATATATAATAAAAAACCAAATTCTAATAATGAATTACAATCAGTAAAACAATATTCTCAAATAAATAATGTAATGCTTAAATGTGTGCAATGCTTTCGATTATGCAGTGACAAAAAAAATAATAAAATGAAATTTTAAACATAAAAACAACATGCTGTTAACACACACAGATATACACACACTCGAAGATTGTTATCCATTTGTTAATTAGTTGAATTGTAGTGCAAATTATCACTTTTTTTTTGTATGCACCACAACCGTTTTATTAACATGCAGACATGTCACAAATATTAGATAAAAAGTGTTTAAAATTAATGATTATGAAATGATGGTTGACAAATGAAATGTGAAATATCGATTTTTCTAACTAATAGTTTATGATAGTAAAACAACACTATCTAATTTTGAAAACAAACTTACCCTCTTCTTTTTCTGAAAAATATAAAACAAAGTGGGTTTTTAAAATTGCCAATTATAACATTACTTTTTCTAATCTAGCTTAGTTTCCGTTAAATATTAGATATTATTCATCATAAACACCCCAAAGAAATGTCTTCCTTGTAGGACAAAAAGGAATGAATATAAAAATATATCCAATAATTCAACTATTAAAATAAATTTCCTTTTCTCATTCAAGGATGACATTTGGTCCTTTCCGTTCCCCCTTTTTTCCATCCACTCTAAAGCAAAATAAGGCTTTCATTTTCCACAATACTATTACTACTAACGTACCCCCATAACTGCGACTATTTATCAGTTGATCCCTATCGCATTCAGCTTCGGATATTTCATTGCTGTCCTTGGAGTCATTAAATGAAGGGTCGTGATTACGAGGTGGTGGTGGGGGAGGTTCGGGGCTTCCGTTGTTTGGCTGAAGTCTCATGGAACCCATGGATCGTCTACCTATTGAACCACGACTTCCATATTGATCGTAAGGTGCGTTGTAGCCTCCGTATTGGGATCCATATTGCTCGTCTTCTGGGGCGCAGTTAGCTGGGTCGTCATATTCAGGTCCTGGGGAATATATGCTTCCGTTTCCTGACACATTACAAAACAAAAATTATAAGGCTTTTAAAATATACTGATTAATAAAAAGGAGGAAAATAAATATTACCTTGAGAACCACCTCTTTCGTATCTTTTGTTAGAACGAGGCATGGACTGAGA